GTATGTAAAAGAAAAAGAAGTTTATTGTTGTTTTTTGGTTTTTGTTTTTGTTTTGTTTTGTTTTTTTTGAGACAGAGTCTCACTTTGTCACCCAGGCTGGAGTGCAGTGGCATGATCTCGGCTCACTGCAAGCTCCGCCTCCCGAGTTCACGCCATTCTCCTGCCTCAGCCTCCCGAGTAGCTGGGACTACAGGTGCCCGCCACCATGCCCGGCTAATTTTTTGCATTTTTTTTAGTAGAAACAGGGTTTCACCATGTTAGCCAGGATGGTCTCGATCTGACCTCGTGATCTGCCCACCTCAGCCTCCCAAAGTGCTGGGATTACAGGTGTGAGCCACTGCGCCCGGCCTATTGTTGCTGTTTTTAAATAAAAGACAAGAAAAGGAAAAACTACAATAATGATGTGAATCATTGCTTTTCATTTGTTTGTTTTTTGTTTCAGTAAAGCACAAGAGCACGGCCATCAGGTGGGAAGAGGAAGAATGTGGCAGTTTCCCCAGTTGATGGTAAGAAAAGGAAAAAGAAAAAGCTTTCCAGCTATACCATCTTCAGGCAGCCCACAAACATCTCTCTATTACCAAGTGCTATTGTCTGAAGTTTGTCCATCCACCCTAAAGCTCATGATGACATTTAATTGCCATTGTGACAGTACTGGGAGGTGGGACCATTAAGAGGCAATTAAGAGGTTCCACCTTCACAAAGGGACTAATGCCCTTATCTCGTTATCTCTGGAATAGGTTCGCCCTCTCTTGTGTGCACACGCTCAGACATTTGTGCAAGCAATCTCTCTCTCTGCCCTTCCACCATGTGATGATGCAGCACGAAGGCCCTTGCCAGATGCCGGTACTAAGGAGGAAAAAAAAAAAAAAAAAAAAAAGCTTTTTATCTGAGGAATATGAGCCCCTTCACATTATAGGAATGTGAGCCCCTTCAAATTATCAGGCCCAGAGCAGTCATGACTCACTCCTCCTTGAGCTAAACAATTACTTCTTGAAGGTACTTACTAGTGGTCTCTAGACTGATGCCATAAATGCCATATACTGGACACCTTAACTCATACTCTCACTCTGTAGTTCAACAATGTATAGCCAATCACTGATCATTGCTTTCTCTTAAACCAGTGAGAATTAGGATCCAACAACTTCCTATCAGCTCACTCCTTGTTCCCTTTGCCTTTCAAAACCTGCCAGTAACCAAGGCCAATGGAGCATTCCCAAGGCAACTTGGAAGTGTGTCCCACACAACTGTCTTTAGTTTGGCTCAAGTAAATGCTTTATTTTTTATTTTTATTTTTTGAGAAGTTGTTTCACTTTATTGCCCAGTTTGGAGTGCAGTGGCGTAATTTTGGCTCACTGCAACCTCCACCTCCCAGGTTCAAGCTATTGTCCCACCTCAGCCTCCCGAGTAGCTGGGATTATAAGCATGCACCACCACACTCAGCTAATTTTTGTATTTTTTTTTTTTTTTTTTTTAGTAGAAACGAGGTTTCACCATGTTGGCCAGGCTGGTCTCCAACTCCTAACCTCAGGCCATCGGCCCACCTTGGCCTCCCGAAGTGTTGGGATTATAGGCGTGAGCCACAGCACCTGGCCCAAGTAAACTCTTTAAATTACATTTTGTGTCTCAGCTTCTTCCTTTTAGGCCAACAGCACCTTGAATTGGGCATCCTAGCCTCTAAAACCGTGAGCCAAGAAATTCCTTTTTATTATAAATTGCCCAGTCTCCATGCATGCATATGTTCATTGCAACACTATTCATAATGGCAAAGACATGGAATCAACATAAATGCCCATCAGTGATAAACCGGATAAAGAAAAAATGGGGTACATATACACCATGCAATACTATGCAGCCATAGAAAAGGAGAATGATCATGTTCTTTGCAAGAACATGGATGGAGCTGGAGGCCATTATCCTTAGCAAACTAACACAGGAACAGAAAACCAAATACTACATGTTCTCACTTATAAGTGGGAGCTAAATGATGAGGACACATGGACACATAGAGGGGAATAACACATGATGGGGCCTATTGGAGGATGGAGGATGGGGGGAAGGAGTAGATCAAGAAAAATAACTAATGGGTACTAGGCTTAACACTTAGGTGATGAAATAACCTGTACAACAAACCCCATGATGCAAGTTTACCTATATAACAAACCGACACATGTACCCCTGAACTTAAAAGTTAAAATAAACAAATTAATTAATTAATTACCCAGTCTCTGGCATTCTGTTACAGCAGCACAAAACAGACTAAGGCACCAAGCCACACATGTATAACTTCCCCTTCCTTCCTTTTCCACATTTGCTATATCTACCATGATTCATTTCAAAGTTCTTTCTTTTTTCTTTATTTCTTTCTTCTTGATGCCCTCCCTTGCTATATGGGTATATCTTCAGGAGAGGTGAAGAAAGAAAAGGGAGTTAATAATTAAAAAAAAAAAAAAGACAAAATAACTAGATAAATGGAACCGGGGGTGGTGGCTCACACCTGTAATCCCCAAAGTTTGGGAGGCCGAGGTAGGCAGATCACTTGAGGCCAGGAATTCAAGACCATCCTGGCCGACCTGGTGAAACCCTGTCTGTACTAAAAATACAAAACTTAGCCAAGTGTGGTGATGCACACCTGTAATCCAAGCTACCCAGGTGGCTGAGGCATGTGAATCACTTGAACCTGGGAGGCAGATGTTGCAGTGAGCCAAGATCACGCCACTGCACTCCAGCCTACGTAACAGAGAGGTTCTGTCTCAAAAAAAGAAAAAATAAAAATAAAAATTAGAACTAGATAAATGAAACTTCTACTCATTCTAACTAGTATCCTGGGGGTACCTACAAAATATGCTCATGTTGTAACAGCTGTGTTTGAGAAGAGTCATCTGTAAGGCTGGAGGCTGGGGTAGAAAACTCATTAGGGTCTGAATCATACCTCTGACACCTACTGCCATGTATCTCTGTGCTGCTAGACAGTCCTGCCGGCATCCCTCTGGCACGCTATCTTTGTACAACAAAGCTCCCCGAATTTGATAGCCCTATATCCAGTTGGCTACGCTTCAAATCCAAATATTTTGAACTCATTCTCACCACACTATTCTCTAATTCCATTCTCTACGTGTTCGATTCCTGGTTTGACACTTACTAGGCGTGTAACCTTGGGTAAGTCACTTAGTCACTGATTTTCAGTCTTATCATGTGAAAATAGACTTGAGAATAGTATCTACTCATAGGTTTGTTGTGATAATTACATAATGTATTACATATTAGAGCAGTGACTTTTTTTAATTTTTTTTTTTCTTTTGAGACAGAGTCTCACTTGTTGACCAGGCTGGAGTGCTGTGGCGCGATCTCAGCTCACTGCTACCTTCACCTCCCGGGTTCAAGTGATTCTCGTGCTTCAGCCTCCCTAGTAGCTAGGATTACAGGCGTGTACCACCACACCCGGCTTTTTTATTTTTAGTAGAGAACAGGGTTTCACCATATTGGCCAGGCTTGTGTCTGATTCTTGACCTCAAGTGATCTGCCTGCCTCAGCCTCCCAAAGTGCTGGGGCTACAGGTGTGAGCCACTGCACCCAGCCTAGAGCAGTGTTAATTACATGTTTGCTATCACTGTTGTTCCAGTTCTCCTTCCATCCCTACAATATAGGGCCCTGTCCATAACTGAGAACTTCTAACAGAAGTCACATGAAAGGAAGCAGGTTACAGCTCTAATTTCAGTGACATACTAAACTACAAGAACCAAGTAAGTCAAAAGCATAAAAGCTATGACCCATTAAAGCTTTTAGGGAAAAAAAATGTTATTTTTAGTCCAAGAGAGACTAATAAAATTCTCCAACTCTATATTCTGAAACCTTTAAATACTTTGAATCGATTTTCTTTCTTTTTTCGAGACGTAAGTCTCGCTCTGTCACCCAGGCTGGAGTGCAGTGGCATGATCTCGGATCACTGCAAGCTGTGCCTCCCGGGTTCACGCCATTCTCCTGCCTCAGCCTCCTGAGTAGCTGGGACTACAGGCACCCGCCACTACGCCCAGCTAATTCTTTTTGTATTTTTAGTAGAGACGGGGTTTCACCAGTTAGCCAGGATGGTCTCGATCTCTTGACCTCGTGATCTGCCCACCTCGGCCTCCCAAAGTACTGGGATTACAGGTGTGAGCTACTGTGCCTGGCCACTTCGAATCAATTTTCTAAGAGATCTAATTTTTTTTTCCTAAGGGATCTAATTCCTCATGACATCAAACAAAAATGCAAAAGAGGAACATGTATAATAAATTAAAGTTTTAAGATTAATTAATTAATGTTGGGGGGTGGTTTTGAGACAGGGTCTTACTCTCTTGTCCAGGCTAGAGCGTAGTAGTATGATCCCAGCTCACTGCAGCCTTGACCTTCTGGGCTCAAGCAGTCCTCCCACCTGAGCCTCCCAAGTAGCTGGGAACACAGGTGCACGCCACCATGCTTAGCTTTTTTTTTTTTTTTTGTAGAAATGGGGTTTTGCCATGTTGCTCAGGTTGGTCTCGAACTTCTGAGCTCAAGAAATCTGCCTGCCTTGGCCTCCCAAAGTGCTGAGATTACAGGCATGAGCCACTGTGCCAGGCTTTATTTTTTATTTTTTTAAGACAGGGTCTTGCTCTGTCACCCAGGCTAGAATGCAGTGGTGCGACCTTGGCTCACAGTCGCCTCAATCTCCTGGGCTCAAGCAATCCTCCCACCTCAGCCCCCCAAGTAGCTGGGACTACAGATGCACGCCACCATGCCAAGCTAGTTTTTTTTATTTATTTTTTGTAGAGATGGTCTCACTACGTTGGCCAGGTTGGTCTCGAACTCCTGGGCTAAAGAGATCCTCCTTCCTCAGCCTCCCAAAGTGCTGGGATTACAGGCGTCAGCCACCACACCCAGCCAAATTGCAGCTTTTGACAAATGTTACATGTTATCCACCAGAGTAAAAGTGGCTATGCACTCTAATTATTGATTTACAAATCTTCATTCTAAAGAAGAAAACACACCTTATCATTGAAGAATATATCTAAGATTGACAGTCCATAATCACTTCGGTCCTCATCATCAGCAACTTCATAGTCTGCCTGATTGGAGAGATGGAAGAAAAGAAAAAGAGAAGTTAAGCTGGCGCCACACATGTGGTGGTGCATACCTGTAGCTCCAGCCACTCAGGACACTGAGGTTGGGAGGATCACTTGAGTTCAGGAGTTCGAGGCCAACCTGGGCAACATAGCGAGATCCCATCTCTTAAAAAAAGAGAAAGTTAGTTAAGCGTCTTCACTAATAATGTTTCATTACGTTTCAAATTCTTTGGTTTGATATCCTCAGAGCCACAGACCAACTCTACTGATCAAGCGGCTACAGCTCTTCTTTGGGAAAGTCAGGTGTATGAGGGGGAAGAAGTCAGTTTTTTAAAAGAGGTTAATGAAGTTTTAGAGCAATGCTTCCCATAATACTCTGTATATTACACTGCATCCATTAAAGATATCTAAGGGCCGGGCACAGTGGCTCACACCTGTAATCCCAGCACTTTCGGAAGCCGAGGCAGGCAGATCATCTGAGGCTGGGAGGTGGGGACCAGCCTGGCAAACATAGTGAAACCCTGTCTCTACTAAAAATACAAAAATTAGCTGGGTGTGGTGGTGGGCACCTGTAATCCCAGATACTCACGAGGCCGAAGCAGGAAGAATCGCCTGAACCCAGGAGGTGGAGGTTGCAGTGAGCCGCGATCATGCTACTACACTCCAACCTGGGCGACAGAGCGAGACTCAGTCTCAAAAACAAACAAACAAACAAACAAACTTCAGCTCTGGGAGTTCTGGATACTGTGTGGTATGCAATTAACGGAAGAGAAAGCAAGTCTGATCCTGCGACGGTCCTTCACTATGCCAACCGGGCAGGCTATGAGCCCCAATTAGTCAATCAAACACAAATCCAGGTGCTGCTGGGAAGATACTTGCACATGCGATTAAAATCTATAATCAGTTGGCTTCAAGGGAAAGAGAGTATGCCAGATAATCCAGGTGGCTCTCACCTAATCAGTTGAAAGGTGCTAAGAACAGAGACGAATCTTCCTGGAGGAAGAAATTCTGCCTGAGTACAGCAGCTTCAGCCCATTTCTGGAGAGTCCTGCCATGCCCCTCCTGATGCCCTGTCCTACAGATTTCAGACTTTCCTAACCAGACCCCACAATTATGTAAGCCAATTCCTTGCAATAAATCTCTTAATATCTCCTCCTGTGGGTTCTGGTTTTCTGGTTGAATCCTGACTGATACAGATGGCATTCATTCATTTAATGAGCAAGAAATAGGGCAAAGAACCACGCCAGGTGCCATGAGGGCGAAATGAATAAGACACAGTCCCTTCACCTGAGAAGCTCACAGAGCCTGTCATCACCTATCACCAGTATAGTCAAAGCAGTAAGCATGACAAAATGGCACAGACATTTCTGAACCTACATGACTGCCATCGAAAAAACAAAAACATAACCTGTAACCTCAGTCACATAACTGTCACCGCATAACTACAGGTATCACGACAATATCAGAAGACTGCAACCTAAAATAGAGTTTCAACAATGAAGTTTAGCTATTTTAACATAAGGAAGAATAGTAGGTCCCTAAATTCTTTTTTTTTTTTTTTTTTTTTTTTTGAGACGGAGTCTTGCTCTGTCGCCCAGGCTGGAGTGCAGTGGCCGGATCTCAGCTCACTGCAAGCTCCGCCTCCCGGGTTTACGCCATTCTCCTGCCTCAGCCTCCCGAGTAGCTGGGACTACAGGCGCCCGCCATCTCACCCGGCTAGTTTTTTTTTGTATTTTTTAGTAGAGACGGGGTTTCACCGTGTTAGCCAGGATGGTCTCGATCTCCTGACCTCGTGATCCACCCGTGTCGGCCTCCCAAAGTGCTGGGATTACAGGCTTGAGCCACCGCGCCCGGCCTAGGTCCCTAAATTCTTAAAATACAGTGGTTTGGCAAACATTACCCACTACATGAAAACCTATACCCTGGGTTCCATCCCCCGAACTGAGTAGGCATGGCCCAGCACGTTGGAACTCTGTCTTCAAAAAGAACTGGCCAGGTGCAGTGGCTCATGCCTATAATCCCAGCATTTTGGGAAGCTGAGGTGGGCAGATCACCTGAGGTCAGGAGTTGGAGACTAGCCTGGCCAACATGCGGAAACCCCGTCTCTGCTAAAAATACAAAAATGAGTTGGGTGTGGTGGCACATGCCTATAGTCCTAGCTACTTCGGAGGCTGAGGCAAGAGAATTGCTTGAATCTGGGAGGCAGAGGTTGCAGTGAGCTGCAATCACGCCACTGCACTCCAGCCTGGAGGACAAGAGCAAACCTCTGTCTCAAAAAAAAAAAAAAAAAAAGGAAGAAGAAGAATCACCTTATTCTAGCAACAGTGCTAGAAAGGAAAGGACTGGGAGAGATCTGGGGGAAGGAAGCAAACAACAAAACAGCCGCAAATGTTTTCCTGAAAAGAATACATTATAAGTAAACATATATACATTTTAAAGTTTTTAAAAAGCTGTGTTAGAGGAAAATCAAATCCAAACTCAATGATGTAAGACATATAATATATGTCTGCATATAATAAGCACTCAATACATATTTGCGGATAACAATTAGGACAGGCCAAAGCAGAGAGAGGAAGGGTCATAACCCTGGTACAAAAGTAAGAGAGCTTTTCTGCTAAATTCCACCAATTTTCGATTGGTCACTTGCTTCTGAATTTCATAGTTTTGAAATTGTAGGCTTGCCAATGGTACCCATAAAGATTTAGAAACATAAAGTTTCTTTACCTATAAGGAAATCACAGTAAATCTCAAACAGGATACATGAGAATGTTGAAAACTTTGTTGAGCACAGTAAATTCCATCCAAAGTGATCATTCTTCTTACACAAACTTTATCCCTTCCATATGCTTCTGGGTTAAAACGTTTTTAAGTTAAGAGCATTGGCCAGTTGAGCGCAGAAAGGACACTTTTCAGGTGGCCAAACGAGCATTATCATCTTACGGCTAGGCGCAGTGGCTCATGCCTGTAATCCCAGGACTTTGGGAGGCCAAGGCAGGCAGATCACAAAGCTGAGGCAGGGGAATTGCTTGGGAGGCAGAGGTTGCAGTGAGCCAAGATCACGCCACTGCACTCCAGCTTGGGCGACAGAGAGCGACTCCATCGCAAAAAAAAATAAAAATAAAAAAAGCATTATCATCTTAATTAGTCTGTCATCTTCACACAATTAAAGCCTCAAGTTTCAAAGTCATTCAATGACTACATGTGATTCTCCAAAACTTGAGATGTAATTCTACATGAAATACCACTTTAGACTAAAGGGATTTCTGTCTTAAGAAGACAGTATGACACCAAGACAACTAGTCCCTCCACTCCTACATCATTGCCCAGGTCTAGTTTTTCCATTTTCCATTTTCTTTTTTTTTTTTTTTGAGACAGAGTCTCGCTCTGTCATCCAGGCTGGAGTACAGTGGCACGATCTCGGCTCACTGCAACCTCTGCCTCCTGGTTCAAGTGATTCCCCTGCCTCAGCCTCCCAAGTAGCTGGGACTACAGGCACCTGCCACCACGCCTGGCTAATTTTTTTTATTTTAGTAGAGAAGGGGTTTCACTATGTTGGTCAGATGGTCTTGATCTCCTGACCTCGTGATCCACCCACCTCAGCCTCCCAAAGTGCTGGGATTACAGGTGTGAGCTACCGTGCCCGGCCAGGTTTTACATTTTCAAAAGCACAAGATTGGGGGGTTGCTCAGTATGGAGATAAACTGCTTACCACTGCATCCAAGAATTCAATGTGCCTCTTTAGGGTGGGTTTGGTATCACAGAACTGCCTGAAGAGAAGTCTTCCTATCGGTTGCTTGTCACAAAGACTGTTATATTCCCTTTCTGGGTGAAGAAAAGGGATGAGAAGCAAACAAATATAATCATTACAATCCACCACATGCTGTTCTAAGCCTGTTTTCACTTGATAAAATAAAAGTCAAAAACAGTATTTGCAGTATTATTTTCTTCGTTTTTGTTGTTGTTGTTTTGTTTTGTTTTGTTTTTGTTTTTGAAACAGAGTCTCCTTCCTCTGTTGCCCAGGCTGGAACGCAGTGGTACAATCTCGACTCACTGCAACCTCTACCTCCTGGGTTCAGGTGATTCTCCTGCTTATCTGTTAAGCATCTAATATCTAGAATATATAAAGAAATCTTATAAGAAATCTTATACCTCAACAACAAAAAGACAATTCAATTTTTAAAACGGATAAAAGATGTGAACAGACATTTCTCTAAAGGTTTACAAATGACCCATAAGCACATGAAAATATGCTCAACATCATTAATCATTAGAGAAATGCAAATCAAAACACAATAAGATACTTCACACCCACTAGGATTAGAGAAAATGAAAAATAAAGAGGAAAATAAAAAGCACTGGGAAGGATGTGAACTGACCACATGGTGGTGGGAATGTAACATGGGGCAGCAGTTTGGAAGAAGAGTCTGGTATTCCTCAAAAAGTTAAACACAGAACTACCATATGATTCTACTTCTTTTTTTTTTTTTTTTTTTTTTTTTTTGGTCATCCAGGCTGGAGTGCAGTGGCACAATCGCAGCTTGCTGCAACCTCCCCCTCCCGGGTTCAAGCAATTATCATGCCTCAGCCTCCCAAGTACCTTGGATTACAGGCGCATGCCTCCACGCCCAGGTAATTTTTGTATTTTTAGTAAAGATGTGGTTTCTCTATGTTGGCCAGGCTGGTTTTGAACTCCTGATCCACCTGCTTTGGCTTTGCAAAATGCTGGGATTACAGGCATGAGGCATCGCGCCCGGCCCAATTTTTGTAATTTTAGTAGAAACAGGGTTTCACCATGTTGGCCAGGCTAGTCTCAAACTCCTGACCTCAAGTGATCCGCCTGCCTCGGCCTCCCAAATTGCTGGGATTATAGGTGTGAGCCACTGTGCCCGGCCAACAATTCTGCTTCTGAATACATACACAAAACAAGTAAAAGCAGGGACTCAAACAGATATTTGCACACCAATGTTCCTGGCAACACTATTCACACAGCCAAAAACTTGGAACACCCAGTGTCCATCAACAAATGAACAGATAAGCAAAATGTGGTATATCCATGCAATATCCAACTCAATGCCACTGAACTGTACACTTAAAACTGTAATTTTTGTTATGTATATTTTATCATGATTTTTAAAAGCCTAGTACATGAATTTTCATAGCAGCATTATTCATAATAGGCAAGAGTAGAAAACAACTCAAATGTCTATTAACTGATGAATGGCTAAATAAAATGTGATATATCCATAAAATGGAATATTATTCACCAACAGAAAAAGAATGAAGTACTTTAACAACATTATGCTACGTAAAAGACCACGTAGTATATGATTCCCCTTTATATGAAATGTCCAGAACAGGCAAAGACATAGACAGAAAGTGGATCTGTGGTTGTCTAGCTCTGGAGGGAGCAGGACGGAGTGAGGAGTGGCTACCAATGGGTGTGGCATTTCTTTTTGGGGTGCTGGAAATGCTGTCAAATTGATTGTGGTGGTTTCACAACTCAATATATTAAAAACAACTGAACTATATACTTTAAATGGATAAGTTGTATGGCATATGAATTATATCTTCAAGACGCAGTTATTTCAAAAACTCGGTGGAGTTAAAACAATGGTGGAGTTAAAACAATGAGGGAAATACTAGCTCCTTTATACCACCAGAAACTAATCTTGATAAATAAAATACTTCATCTTTCTTTAAGAGGAACTACAAGAGTACTAAAGGAAAGATGGATTGGTTTGTAAAAATCATCTTGGAATAAACGTGTCCTTCCTACAGATAACACAAAGTTCAGAATCTAAGAAGGAAAATACTGATACATTTGTCTCTATGAAATATTAAAACCTCTGTATGAAAAAAAGACACTGTACGCCAAAGGGAAAAAAGCAAAATTATAAATATATTCACATTGGATATAAAAGGATAACTCCTTTTATATATAAACAGCTTTTATAAATGAATTAGAAAAGAAAAAGGAGGCTGGGCGCAGTGGCTCATGCCTATAATCTCAGCACTTTGGGAAGAAGAGGCAGGCAGATTACCTGAGGTCAGGGGTTCGAGACCAGCCTGGCCAACATGGGGAAACCCCGTCTCTACTAAAAATACAAAAATTAGCCAGGCGTGGTGGTATGTGCCTGTAGTTCCAGCTACTCCGGAGGCTGAGGCAGGAGAACTGCTTGAACTGGGAGGCGGAAGCTGCAGTGAACTGAGACCTCGCCACTGCACTCTAGCCTGGAGTGCTGAGACTCTGTCTCCAAAAAGAAAAAAAAAAAAAAAAAAGAAAAGAAAGAAAGAAAAGAGAAAGGAAAAATTGAAAAAATCCAATGGAAATGTTCTACCCCATCCATAAGAAACCATTTTTCAAATAACAGTTTAGTAAATATTAAAAATACTGATAACAACCAGTATTAGCAAAAGCATGGCAAAGAAAGCTTGCTACATACTGTTGGCAGAACGGTAAACTGATACAATCTTTTGGTGGGGGTGATTTAGCAACATCAAAAGTTTAAATGCATGTAGCCTTTGAACTGAAAATTCTATCTTTAAAAAATACGGTTATGACTGCTCTATAGAGATGATTCTACATCTGACTTCTTAGGCTCATGTTAGGACCTGTAGCTAACTCTCATTCTTTATAGTTGCAGAATATTCTGTTATACTGATATACTGTATTTTTATTTGACTAATCCTTTCCTGAAGATCAATAGAAACTTCTTGTCTTTTTTCTTTCTTTCCCTCTTTTTTTCCCCTCCTCGAGACAGGTCTCATTATGTTGCCCAGGTTGGACTCAACCTCTTGGGCTCAAGGGATCCTCCTGCCTCAGTCTCCCAAGTGCTGGGACTACAGGTATTTGCCACCATGCCTGGCCCAATATTTTTTAAAAACATGCATAGAAAACTGTCTGGAAGGCTACTAAACAATACTTAACAGTGTTTCTTCTGGAGACAATAATCGACTGGGTCGTGGGAAGAGGAATTTTTACTTTTTCTTCAGTTATGTATAGAAAAATGAGTATACGTATTACTTTTAAAAAATGTTTTTAATGTGGGTCAGGCACAGTGGCTCAGGCCTGTAATTCCAGTACTTTGGGAGGCCGGTGGGGGCAGATTGCTTGAGCTCAGGAGTTTAAGACCAGTCTGGGCAACATGGTGAGACCCTACCTCTCCAAAAAAAAAAAAAAATAGTTCTTAATGAAAAAAACCAACAGCCAACTTTATAACTGCAGATCAGAAAATCTAAAGGTTTGTTTTTCTTTCCTGAGAGGAGTAATGAAGATATAAGGAGAATTTATCATAAAACGTTTGAAACAAATATGGAATAACGTATTCCGTATTTGTTTTCAATATTCTCAAGAAAGAATAACATCTAACGAATGGTATAATGCCAGATGTACCATTCAGGCATAAGTAGGCACGATTTACTCACCAATGGAATGTCTGAGCTCACTGCACTGGCTGACAGGAGGCAGCGTCAGTATCTCCCTCCATTTTTTACTACGACCACTTTTTTTACCATATCCTCCTGAATTTGGGAGAAAAAGGCAATTTTTTTTAAGTCAGAAATATCTAAGTATAACAACTACTTCCACTAATACATCTTATCATTTCTGTTTGAGCGGTTTGGGTACCTATGATGAGTAAAAATACATGCTTTTAATGATTTGTCTTATCTGGAAAGCTGCTTGATGAAGTATAAAATTCCCAGGTGATGCAATCTGTCACTGGGTCTGCCATTTAGAAGCCACGGTGAGCCTCAGTTTCCAAGTATGTAAACTAGATCTAACATGACATACTGCTCAGGGTTGCTTACAAATATTTATCAAAGAAATATTTACTGAGCATCTACTATGTACCAAACACCTTCAAAGCACTGGGAATACGACAGTAAAAAAAACCAAGTCCCTCCCTCGCATTCTTAGGGAGGGAGTGATATGGTTTGGCTCTGTGTCCCCACCCAAATCTCATCTCAAATTATAATACCCACATGTCGAGGGAGGGACCTGGTGGGAGTCCTGTGACTGGATTGTGGGGACAGATTCCCCATGCTGTTCCCGTGATAATGAGGGAGATATCACCAGATCTGATGGTTTTAAAAGTGGCAGTTTCCCCTGTGCTCTCTCTCTCCTGCCACCATGTAAGACATGCTTTGCTTCCCCTTTGCTTTCTACCATGACTGTAAGTTTCCTGGGGCCTCTCCAGCCATGCAGAACTGTGAGTCAATTAAACCTCTCTGGTTTATAAATTACCCAGTCTCAGGTAGTATCTTCAGAGCAGTGTGAAAATGGACTAATGCGGGGAGAGAGATGCACACATCAGATAATAAGAGATCAGAAAAAAATAGCTAATCGTATAGTGATAAATACGAAATGAAATCACGCAGGGTAAAGGTGGAAGGTGCTGTTTTAACTAAGGTAGGATCAGAGAAGACCTCTCTACCAGGGTCACATTTAGGCAGAGGCTTGAAGGATGTGAGGGACAGAGTCTTGGCAAGTGCTGGGAGAAGAGCATCCCATGGTGAAACAAGAATGGTGGAAAAAGCTACACTAAAATACTCCAGAAAGATTTTTTAAACAAGCACCATTTTTTTCTTTAATGTAACTCAGAGAAATGAGTATCTTCAATCTCAAGCCTTCCGGGCAGCTAAAATTTTACTAAATTTTATCCAGGAGAACATAATGGCTTAGGCTGGGTGACTAAGACTCCATGACCATTTGGAATAATTGGGAAACCAGGGAGAAAGTCACGTTTCCTTGGGAGACGATAAGCTCTGTCTTAAATGCGGTAAGTGTGGAAAATTGTAAGAGAGACATTTGGAAGATGGGTAGACTGGGACGAGCTCAGAAGAGGCTCAGCTAGAGATACAGACTTGATATCTGCAAAAAAGATAAGCATCAAAGATGCAAAAGCTTCTTCCTCAGCCTTAGTTTTGCTCTTCTACTCCCTCGACTCAATATCTCAACTGAGATCATGAGCTCTGGACTCATGTCCCACACCACAAGATGTCCAGAGCACCTGGCGTTCAACATGTTCACCTTAGACTCATTATCTTCCCCCTCAGATCGAGTCCACATTTTTTCTTTTTGTTAATATGTGTTTATTTAATAAACATGTAACAAGCACCTGCCAATGCCAGAGAATATGCTAAGTGCTGCATCAGTGACAGCCATGTCCCATGTCACTGAAGGGTGGGGAAAGGGGAACCTGTTCCTCCTGTCCCTTCACAGAGAACACAGAAACTCATTCCAGAGAAGCAGCAGGCACTGAAAAAAGGCTATCATCTTTGGTTATGGGTTATTTTTTTCAGGGCTATTGCTGGTTCTCCCTTCAGTTGAAGTAAGAACTGTTCTTTGGGATACGCCATTTTTATCTGACCTCTTAAAGGAGTACAGAGCTGAGCTGTCACTTGCCTGATGCAGTATTTTGCCCTCTAGATTCCACAAGTGTACAACAAGCATGATCTACAAGTGCTCCGAGACATGGCTTACGTCTTCAGTGGTGCTTCTGTGCCCAAGCTGCTGAATCATTGAGCAGAGAATAAGTCCCTCTTGGTCATATTCATATTTCACTATCTCCGCTTTCTCTGGGTCCCTGGACTCTCCCAACTTTATACTACTCAAGTAACTAGCAAGAAACATGGCAGCCTGGCTGCTATGTCCTTCCTTTCCTAAGCCTGATACTGTCTGTAGGCTTAGAACCAGTGCTTCCACCTTCTCAGGAGCCAAGCAGCAAGGCAGGCAGGGCCTGGATGAGGTGGTGCTGGCAGCAGTAGCCAGTGCCAGTGTGAGCCAGGAACAGGTGGGAGCCCCACCCCCTTTCAGGTTGGTGGGGCGGGAACCCCACACTACCGGAAGCAGCTGCAGCTGCCCAGCCACAGCTGCTGACCTAGGTATCCCTGTGCTCTCAGGGGCCCAGGAAGCTCCCCTGCTCCTACAGGCCCGGAAGTGCCTGTTCCCACTGACTGGCCTCTCACTGCTCCTGGCACCTACTCTGATTTTGGATCAAAGCTGTGGCTGAGCCCAGGCACCGTCACGACCCAGCCAGGTGTGTGCACGCTAGGGGTGGTGCTGACACACCAGCCACCTGCCGCCTCAGCCCCCTCCAGACTTTGGACACCAATGAGCATGGCAGAGAGGCCAAGGCGTTGCTTAGTTCAGCTCAAGGCAGGTCTGCAGGCACCCCTTGGCACAAACAGCCTGGGCACCGTGAACAAGGGCAGGAAGCAGACAGACTCCTGGGTGGAAAGGGGCAGGGTCCCCAGTGAAACCTCACTTTCAAGCCAGGGATAGACTGAAGCCTGGGGGCTGGGCTGCCAGTTCTGCAGACTGGAGTGAGAACTTATGCTGGTTTTTCTGGGCCCGCCCATGGACCAATCAGCATGCACTTCCTCCCCTCTGAAGCTCATAAAAACTCCCGACTCAGCCAGACTCAGGCAGAAAACAGGACAACCTGCCTGCAGAAAGGTGCTACACACTGTGGGTCTCCTCTCCACTGAGGGCTGTACACTCATCAGGATGACCGGCCTGCAGATAGGAGCTACCTACTCCAGGTCTCCTCTCCTCTGAGGGCTGCACAGATGATGGGATGATCTGCCTGCAGAAAGGAGCTACCCATTTTGGGTCTCCTGAGAGCTGTACTGTCATCTGTCACTCAGCAAAGCACCTCTTCTCCTTGCTTGCCCTCCAGTTGTCTGTGTACCTCATTCTTCCTGGACATGGGACAAGAACTTGGGACCCACTGAATGGCGGGACTGAAAGAGCTGTAACACAAACAGGCTGAAGCACACCTGCCAACTCACCACGTTGTGGGTGATGAAGAGAGAAGAGAGAAGAGTTGTGGCCCCTTGGGGAGCCCAGATTTAGGAGCTCCCCAAGCCAAAGCTGTGACACCCTCTTTGAAGCTCTGTGGTTCCTGGAGCCTCCAAGCTTCTGGGCATCACCATGTTCCCTGGTGCCCACAGTGGAAGCTGCTTGCAGTATGCTTGGTCTAGCCACAGCCACAGCAGGTAGGCAGGGCCCACGCTCATGCCTGGAGCTGCCCACCCTGCCATAGCTGGCATGCCTGGCCGTGCCCAGTGGCTGGACCCCGCACTCATTTGCTCATGCAACCCTTGCTGCTCTGCACCTGGCTTGCCCTTGGCAGGCATGGGATCTGGACCAGTAGTGAAAGACAAGCACAGCCTGCCAGGCCAAGTGGGCGGAAGGAGCCCAGTGGGCCCAAGCAAAACTCAGGCAAAGCCACCACTGGCCACCGAAGTTTCCAGCTGGTGAAGTGACACCCTGAGGATCCTGTGACAGTGGCACAGCCGCTCAGCCCCAGTGGGTTTGTGTTCATGGGTGTGTGGCACTGATGGTGGGGTAGGGTGGCAACAAGAGGTAGGCTGGATGCATCACCCAGGACTAGCATGTCAGGCAAGAGGTGAGCTGTTCTGCTCCTCACAGATGGGCCCAAGGAAGACAAGGCTTCCAATGAGTCGCCATGCCTTATCTTGGTGGTGTTCTGGGGTATTTGCACATAGAGATCTCAGCATCTAGTAGGCTTGCTGTGGGGTAACTTATATAGAAAGCTACCAGGCCATGAGGAGGATTCAGTATTCCTTCCCTTCCCCTTTAGGGTACGGTTTTCTTTTTTTTTTTTTTTTTTTTTTTTTTTTTTAGGGTACGGTTTTCTACATCCACAGAAGATTCCCACTGAAGACTGGTTCCCAGGTTCCCTTCTTGGATGAAGAGGAAAACAAGTCAAGGTGTTAGGCTTTCCTCTTCATCCTGGCTGCTGCCGCCCTCAGCCAGCTCCAGGCAGTGAAGGCCCCAGGGAGGCTGGGTGGCCTTGGCAGCCCCAGTCATCTTTCCATACTGTGAATCCTGGCTAACAAACTAGTTATTCAGAAGACATCTGCTGTCCCTGTCCTGTGTGCCAGGCACTGGAGGGTCAGGCAGCTGGTCATAACAGGATGAAAGCACTCTTGTCAGACCCAAACAAACTTGGAGCAGGGAAGGCACAAAAAAGGGCTCTTGCTTGCATGTCTGAGATAAGAACCATCAGGAGGAGTTTCTAAAATAACCCCACAAGAAATTCTTTCACATCCTTCATGCATCTCATGCTTTTCACGACCTACATTTGGCACATATGCAGATATTTCTGAGACCAGGTTTACCACTAGACTGTTTTTTTTTTTCTTTCTTGAGATAGAGTCTTGCTCTGTCACCCAGGCTAGAATGCAAAATGCAAGGCTCACTGCAGCCTTGACTTCCTGGACTCAAGAGATCCAGCTATCTCAGCCTCCTCAGCAGCTGGGACCACAAGCACGCACTACCACACATGGCTATATATATTTTTTTTTTGGCTGGGTGGAGGACAGAGTTTCACTGTTGTTGCCCAGGCTGGAGTGCAATGGTGTGATCTTGGCTCACCACAACCTCCGCCTACTGGGTTCAAGCGATTCTCCTGGCTCAGCCTCCCGAGTAGCTGGGATTACAGGCATGTGCCACCATGCCCGGCTAATTTTGTATTTTTAGTAGAGACACG